TGGCTGTGTGTAGTGCCTGCTGCCCAAGACAGGGCCGGCTTCTCCCCGGGCCTGTTGCTTCCTCCTGGGGGCCAACCTTAGCACAGTACTCTGGAGATGGTATGTGAGGTAGGTGGTAGCACTTCTCAGACCGTCCTGGAGCGTTGTTGTTCAGGCTCACTGACCATACAAACAGCTGAGTTTTATCTGAGCCACTTTAGAGAGTCCAGAGTTAGCAGATACTTAGAAAGACCTTCACATCTTTCTCTATGGAGCAACTAGCTTGATGATAAGTGATGTTGCTACAGTTTGTGTTGGTCATTAATTTATTACTCATTTAGTGGGTATTGGTGCTAAGAACTGTGGTGGGCAGATGATGACTATGAGACAGGCAATTAGTTTGTTAGGCACATTTTCTGGTACTGGGGATCAAACTCAGGACATTGCATTGGCCAGGCAGGTGCTTATGCCACTGAGCTATCTCCCAAGCCCCATTAGTCTCTTTTGGCTTAGAGCCTCTGATTCTGTTCAGTAGCCACCTGAAGCCTAAGTTCCTCTAGTCAGTATCTAAAACCAATGTCTTCTGAGGCAAACTAACAGAATGTAATGACTGACACATGACAGGAGAAATTTCTACACACTAGCTGAATGTTTTTCATAGTAAAAATGGTAGAGCAAAGATCTAACTTCTTTGACATTATGAAAATTCTAGGCAAGAAAATTTCCTTACTAGTTTTTTTTTTCTCCAAACTAGTAGACAGTCTAAGCAGATAAGAAAGTCTAGAGAGAAGCACGGGTTTCTTGTTGGTGAGTGGAAACACTGTGTATTTCTTGGCATGTCTTATCTACAGGGCCCAGTGTTCAAGGGAAGCTTATTTCTCACGTAGGAGGCTAAATTCGAAAGGCCTCCTCTTTCCCTTTATCTTGTTCTGTCCCTCCCTGAATACCTCCCCACAAGTGCTCACAGGGAAAAGGGGATATTAAAGAGCAATGGCATTTGTTTGGTTTGGAAAAGAAGATAAACTTTTATTTAAAGACAGAATTAGGAAAAGAAAGTCATAGTTTGCTTAGGAAGATGACAATTTACATAAGGAAAACAGCATATTTGGCCAGGACAACAAAACAGCCCTCTGAGGCTGTCAGGAAAGCCGACCACAAACATGCCCATAGAAAGCTGAATGTGTGTGTGTGTGTGTGTGTGTGTGTGTGCGTGCGTGCGCGCGTGAGTGCGTAAAAGAATTCTGCAAGACAACGTAAGACAAATACATGGTCCAAAGCAGCACATTTTCCATTCTGGGAAATTCAGGAGAAACTTTTTGCAGATTCCTGGGGTTGAAGTAGTGCAGTGTTTCCAAACACTGAAGAAGTCTGAAATCTCAGCCAGAGGGAAAAGAGTGAGAAGGAGCTTTGTGGATGTGGAAAAAAGTTAGAGAAATCAAGATAGGAGAGCACATGCAGGATGCACTCTAGATGTTCAAACATGCACACAGTGGAGGAGGAAGCAAGGCTAAGACAGCTAAGGACACCACCTGGGAAGGGTACCACCTGAGAAGGGTACCACCTGGGAAGGGTACCACCTGAGAAGGGTACTACCTGGGAAGGGTACCACCTGGGAAGGGTACCTCCTGGGAAGGGTACCACCTGGTCAGGATACCCACCTGGCAAGTGTATTTACCTTGCCAATCTGCTGTTATATTTTCAATACTTGGCTACAACCAATTAGGAAAGAGAAATAACACCAAAAACATTGATTAATCAAGAGCCAACTGGTCAGACTTTGTTGATAATTGTCAAAGCCATGCCCCAAATAACGATTATTCCAAGATTTTAGTGAGAAGATTTTTAAAGCTCAGGCTGAACAATTTTTGTCTTTATTGAGACATGGAAAAAGCACAAGGTAAGCCAAGTACTGAGAATTCTGTTAGTTTATTATTTAGCTGATATTTCTCCAAACTTTAAACAAAGTTCATTATTTAATTGACATTTCTCCACACTGCAGACAAAGAGCTCATAAACTTCTTTTGACAACAAAAAATGGCATGAAGAGTCAAAAATATTTTTGACTTCTTCACCCTTGACCTAGATTTCAACATTTTTCAGTAGGATACAAAGTATATGTGATGCTTATGAAGCAAAGTCATTCCCTCTGATACCTAAGATTGCTTCTGTTGAAAATTTTTCTTGAAAATACAATTACGCAGGTAGGAAATTATCAAAAATACTTGCCATTAGAAAATGTTCTTAATTCTTGTTAACCCCTGACCTCCTCTTCTAAATTGGTGGGTTAAAGAGGCATGCATGGAGCCAGAGTTGTTTTGATGGAAGGTACTGGTCATTTACAATATCCCTTTAAAATGTTCAAATAGTTTCCAAATGTGAATGCTACAAAATATTATTGTTTCAAGATCGGAGGTGACCTTGAATATGCCATACATGATTCATCTGTATATTTACAGAGGTGTGAAGCACACAAAATTGTGCAGATAATGTACTGCCGTCTAAAGATTAACATCACTCAAGGTTGCACACATAGCAACAAGACACAATAAATTCTGAACAAATAACAACCAATAATCAGCCATGTTACTAAGTACACCTGAGGCAGGAAGCAATTAAACACTGCTTAGTAGAGTGTCACTTAAATTATTTTTCCTATGAAACTTCTTTCCCCCCAAACTCTCTCTCTCTCTCTCTCTCTCTCTCTCTCTCTCTCTCTCTCTCTCTCTTTCTATCACATACATAAAATATCTCCAGTCATCTCATGGGTCACAAGGCATGAAGCAACACAGAAATTCAGACTGACTTGCAATTTGCCAGACGTGGCTTTTGTAAATCAGTTATTGGATGGTGGTCACTACGAACGTATATTCAGACTTTCACGTCATGGACTGAAAGAGGAGAAGCAAAGAGCATTAACTAATAACTCTGTAACATTTGCCACTCAGTTAAATATATATTGGCTTTTGCTAAAATAATGTGTGTATCAGGAGGGGAAGGGCCCTAAGATAGTATGTAAGACAACAGCAACAACAATAAGCCTACTTTCTTTATCGAAATAGAACATCTGTATAGTCCATCTACCCATTGTTAAACAAAACCAACTGTCCTTTTGAATAATGATCTAAAAATTTATTATTGATGAAAATAGAAGAAATGATTGAAAAAACAAATATAATTACTGTGTGCAGATGCAGTGGAAAAACCAGAGACCTGAAATATGGCAAAATCAGTGCTTCATGAACAGTCAATGGATTTTTTTTCTAAAAATACTTTTTGCTAATGGCAAAGTTCAACACCTCAGAAAAACTCTGAATTAAGATCTTAGAATAAGTTTCCAAGCTGTACAACGTGCTTTCAAATACACTACCCTTGTTGTTTGTAAGGCTGTATTGAAGTTTAGCTTAACAGTCATAAGCCATGTGTTTGAACATCTTATGAGAAGTGACCAGCAAAGAAACAAATTTTTTCCTCGTTCATTCTACTACCCATATAGAGATAACATTGCTTTCTAAATAGCTCCTTACATTTTTTTCTTGAAAGATACAACCTTTAAAAACTCCGTATTTGCTTCATTGAGTCATCTGGAAAAATATTTATACTTTATAAAAATGACAATGTAACACTGAATTCACTGAGAGTATTCTCTTGCTAATCTAGAACTGCCCTCTCTAATTGGTAGGTTAGAGTTTAATAAACAAATATACAAAGAAGCATAAACTCTGCCGTCCCTCTGCTGCCTATAAAGTTGAGAAGCTGCAGATTCCTGGCATCCTTTTCCTAATATGTATACATTTTCAGAAGCCAGTGAATTCTGTGTTCTGTTAACATAACTAGGGAACTAAAATGTACCACAGACCTTTTGACAGCTTAGTGGCTAGTGCTCCAAGAGAAAGTGAATACCTCTTGGGTGGATTGTGAACAGCAAACAAGAGAAAGCCTCAGAGCTGAGGTTTTCTAGTAGGCCTCCTTGTCTAACAGAGTTATCTTCCAGGGAAGAGCTCAACCCTCAGCAGGGTATATGTCTGTGTGGCAGGATAACAATGAATGAGAGGCCAGTCCTCTCTCCCACTTGTCTGGCATGATCTCCTGGCAAGGATGGGGTAGGTGTTTGCCAGGTGGCTCCCAGACAAGGTTTCTTTAGGGGAGTACAACAAGGCTTCAGTCATTGCTTTTCATAAAGTGCTTTGGGATCCTTCAGGAAAGGGGACTGGCAGAATATTATTACTAAGTGGCTTCAATTTTCAAACCAAATGGAACCATTTTCTCTGGTGTAATTATTGCTTCGAGCATTAGTGAATGTTCTTAAAACGGAATGGATCTCATCTTTAAGTACCCACTTCTCAAAATATCCTTCCCCAGAGTGAATGTTTTTAATTACTGTCCCCTAGGTCCCCTCGCCAATTAAGAGGGTGTGAGAGCCTTGTCAAGGGTTGCCTAGAGCATACACCTCCAACTTGCATTTTCTGGCTGGCCTCCTTCATGAATAGACAGGAGTGCAAGCAGAGAAGTCTAGCCAAACATGAGTTGTGTCTGGGTGGCCATGGGGACAGGCTCCTGTGTCTCTTCAGACATCGGTGACAAGATGTGTTGTCAGTGTTTGCCTATATTCTTAGATCAGATCTGTGAGCTTCTTGTGGCCCAGGAATGTTTTTCATACTCGATGCTTTGGTTCGCTGTGCATTTAGAATAGGCAGAGATCCGAGAGGGCCTCAGTCAATGATTTTTAAAGAGTTCCACACAGGATGAGAGCGGGGTAATGTGGGTGAAAGTATGCTAGAAAAACTAAAGCAAAGAAGACCGGGGATAGGAAAGTTTCCTCCAGAGCTTCTCACATTGGATCTCAGAAGAATAAAACAGCAAATCCATCATATAGAAAACAAAACAAACAAAACTAATAATGCCAACAAAAATCCCTAGACTTTGTGAAGTCTATCATTAGTATGAAAGAATTAAAAAATCAAACTAGGGAATATTTTTTTTTATTTTTTTTTGGTCACAAGAATGCATTAATTTAGACTGGCCTCCCAAGTGTTATGAAATTGCAGTGATTCTACCTGAATAAATAGCTAATTATTGAGGACATAACATATATACTTTTCAAGGGAATCTTGCTAGCAAAATGCACTTTCAAGTGACTTAAGTATGCCTATTGAAATGTACTGTGCACTATTCATTTCATGAGAAGGTCTCTTTTTCTCATGGAAAATGAAAATAAACTTTGTGCCCTCTATATAAACTAGTGGGTTTAAAAATTAATGTAGTTTGGGCCCAGAAAGCCAGAACTTACTGATCAAATAGGGATCAGAAGGGTGGGAAGTCTCTGCCTGGCCTCCTTACTGAATGCCTCCCAACTAATTCCTGGTCACAGACTGCTTCCTTTATCAGCAGAACCGGCGGGACCAGGGGCTTACTAGGCTTGCTAGCTTTTGCGGTCCCATTCTCCCAATTCACAGACTCATTCAACACCTACAGACTGTCTTCTAGTTCGAAATAAGTAGAAACTGAGGGCAGATAATGCCGATAGTCACTAAGAGTCATGATTTGAAGTATCTTCCAAATTAGCTTCTTAGTTGGCAAGCTTAGCTTAGATGTCCATTACCTGACATTCATATTCCTCAGCATCAAGGAGCTCTGAGATACTAGAAATTTGTTTGGTAAAGGTTGAGCAAAGGACTTGAATTTGGAATAAAAAGTAGATGCTTTTGATAAAGGGTAAATTGCCTGAAGACAAAGATTAGACTAGCTATGTACCTATTCCCAATGGGACAGCCTGTTCTAAAAGGAATGGTTGTGGGTTCTTCTTCTGATCCTAACTCTGCCACCAAACAAGCTGTGACCTTGAGCAAGTCACTTAACTTCCCTGGGCCCTAGCTGTCCTACCTGTAAAGGACATAAGATACATTTTATGATCCCTTCTAGTTTTGACCTTCACTTCTCCCATACGCATAGAATTCACTCAGTCAGAAGAAAACTATATTTTAAAATACTCCTAGGTATGGAGAAGCTATTGTAGTGATTCTGATCAAGATTATTTGGGTGGCTCACTGAGTATAAAATCTCTTTTAAAAAGACTGAGCTCTGGGCAATAGTTTTCTAATGACCATAGGACATGGGTCAAATTTGAACCTTTCCAGTAGGGTAATTATTTGTGTTTTAATCAAATGTTTTAAAAATGGAAGAGATCAGCATAACATTATGAACATGGGACATTGTGTGAACTTCCATGAGAAATGGTAGTGCTATGTGGGCTAGGATAAGGCCATGAAGACCATTTTAGAATGTTAGTAAACTGAGTAGGTCTTGGCTTCAGCGGTTGAGAAGACTTATGCCTATCCTGACTATGCAGTCTTGGATTTGGGTTTCTCATTTCTGAGAAATTTAGGTGGTAGGCAATGTGACCAAAGTGGGATTTCCAGGTGTCTTTGAGCAAATTTTTGCACCTGGCCAGATGATCCTGGGGACCAAATTGACGTTGAGAAGCATGGCCAAAAGAGGAAGGTAGCTACTGCAGCCCTGGGCAGTTTGTCTCTTCACCTGTGATGTGGAGGTCTAGCAATGTGCTTTGTGGAGCTGTGAGGGGGCCACCACTGCCTGGCCACGTGTGCAGGGCACTTTCTTGTTCCATAACTATTTCATCACTTCAGAATCTGGAGAAGATCCAATGTGATTTTTACTGACAGACTTACAGACTTAGTTTGCTTGTTTTAGGACTGTCAACCAAATATACTTTTGTTCATGCTTCTCCCCCTTCTCTTACCTATAAATTAGGCTTTCACATAATTCATCTATCTCCTTGCACCCTGGAAAAACGTGCTATTCATTTTCAGGTTTAAATAGGAGCTGAGTGTGCTTCTCGCCCTGCTCTATCTCTGCAACACAGAGCCAGAAGTGCCCTCTACTTTTGTTTCTAGTGATCACCATGCAGCACAAAGGGTCTATGCAAGGCCTTTTTAATTAGTTAAGTGCTGATGATAAATTGGATTTGGAAAATTTGATTTGGATAACCCTGCATTTTGGCATGACTGGGTTAGCTGACAGAGAACCTAACATAAGCCTTCTTGATCCATGGCCTGAAGACACAACCTAGGTCTCTTTCCCCCAAACACTTCCCAAGGTTTGGATGGGAAGGAAAACCAATGCCAATCTTATTTCTATGTATAGAACTTCTCTTAATCCAAATTCATGAAAGAGGCTAAGCGCAGGGATCAGATTACACAGCCAGCTCAGGGCTAAGGGTGTCTCCTTGCCCTGTTTTACCACAGCCATAGCCATCAGGAATGGGGTGGCCATCTCAGCCTTCAGGTTAACACAAATACTCCTCCATGTCTTTTCTAGGCTGAAATGGGAATGGCACTGGCCACTCTGGCCTCCACTCCTACTCTACTTTCCACAAAGAGGGCCTTGGGCATGTAACCCTGGGATTCTTAATGTTCAAACCATTTGAAAATAGGTTGCTGAGGCAGTGGGCAGGCTGAGGCTAGGATGATGCAGGGACGGGGGCGGCGCAGAGGACAGCTAGCCTGCGACATCCTAGAACATGCTGCTGAGTATTTCTGACACGGGTGAGGTGGGGCCCTCCGGGTTCCTCTCGGCACCCGAGGGGCTCGGCAGGCGGCTGCGGCCTCCGGGCGGCGGGCTCAAGGCGGCCCACGGCTTCGGGTCCTGGCCCACAAGGGCCCTGGCGTAGGGCTCCACGTAGATGCGGCGGATGGAAGGCCTGGGCTCCTGCAGACACCCCTTCCGCTCCTCTGGGAGGCTAGTGGCGTGCGCCAGGGACAGGCCCCGGGGCCCATCGTGGGTGGGACCTGGATGCTCGGCTTCCCCAGGGTCGCCACAGGCTCGGGACAGGTGCGGCGTATAGACACCTTCGGAAAGCGACAACGATTGCGTCTCGCTGTGCATGCGCAGCCAGCGGTGGTGGCGGCTGAAGCCACCGTAGTGCTGGTGCTTGCCCGGCTTCCGCTTTCCCAGGAAGCCCAGCGGCGGCCGCGCGCCCGGCGCCATCTTGGCGTGGTTCTTGGGCGCGAAGCCCGTGAGCGTCAGGCTGTGCAGCAGCTCTGCGCATGCGTGGTCCGGGTCCGGGCCTCGCGAGCGGCCCGGCACATCCGGGTCCGGCCCGCTCGGGCTCTTCGCGTCGTGCACTTGTAGGACGTCGGGGGCGCTGCCGCTGAGGCCGCTGAGGGCTTGCTGGGCGATGTCGTGTGAAGACAGGTAGACCAGGTCGAGGTCGCGGGGGCTCAGGGCGTCGCTGGAGTCGTAGTCGCTGTCGGTGGGGAGGAAGACTTCCGAGCAGGCCTCTTCGTCCGAGCAGGGCTGTGACTCTGCAGAGACAGAGACAGAGTTTAGGAAAGGGCGCGCCAGCCAGGGCCTGCCCCCCGGGACGAAGGTCCCAGTTCAGATTCTGTGACCTCGAAAAGGTCCCTACAAGGTATGTGGTGGGCGCTGGCCTTTGGGTAGGGAAAAGAAGGGGACAGGTCCAACCCAGACTGTTGGAGAAGGGCGTTCCCTTTGTTCCTCTCACACGATTTTATTACTATTGGAAGAGAGGATGAGACAGAGAAGGAAGCCGGATGTTACCCCTGTATTCATCCCCTCCACTTATATGAGAGATAAATTTTGTAGTTGAGAAAGTAGCCTCGTTTTAAAAAGGGGAAAGAAGGAGAGGAAATGCTGGTGGCTGAAGAGGAGAATCAGATTTCAAATCCTACCTGCCTTCCACCTACTGAAATCCTTTGACTTTTCCACAGAACTCAGTGCATGGTCTTTGATGCGCTAAAGACCTTGCTAGCATGTGCAAGTGGTCTTCAATTAGGATTTTCTCATTTTTGAAATTTGAGACAATTACAATTATACCCCCGAAGAATCTTTAAAAGAAATATAGTAGTAAGTTGATTTTAAAATACATCTAGAGAAGAACATTTATGAGACTAGTCAACCTTTTTTTTTTTTTCTTGAAGATAAAGTAGGAAGACTTTTGCCTACTGCATACTGCAGAACTTTGGGCATTAAAACTACATTATTGTGTAAAATGGACAAATAGATCCGTAAAATAGAAAATCTGGAAACAGCTCATAATTCTGTGATATTTTAATATAAAGACTATATTTTGAAGTAGGGAAGTGAAATAAAATTACTCAGTATGTAGTGTTGGGACAGTTGGCTATCCTTTTAGCAAAATAATTACAGAAAGTCCTTCATATGATATATGATGATAAACTCCATATAGGTTAAATATAACCTCAACAGATCAGGGAATAATATGCTTATAATTTTGGGTGGGAAAGCCTTTTTAAAAGAAAATGCAAAGAATCATACAAGATATGGCTGATAAAGCTAATCATATTGAAGTTTAATACTTTGTACTGAGTAATCTCCCTGGCCTTAATTTTATTTTTTAATTTTATTTTTCAGAGCCGAGGTTTGAACCTAGGCCCTTGTGCTTGCCAGGGAAGCGCTTATTCTACTGAATCATTTCCCTGGTCGAAGTTTAATACTTTGTAAAACAATAGCATAAGCAAAGTGAAGAGGTGATAGACTAAAAGGAAATTTAAATGCGATATATAGTAAAAGACAAAAATCCAGAATATGTTTAAAAAAACTTCTATAAATCAGGAGAGATGGAAAATGAACAAATACAAGAAATATTGTTTGGAAGAATGATGAGTAACAAATGGCCAATAAACACATTCAAACCAGATAGTAACTAGGGAAAAGGAACTGAAATCGGCTTTTTTTTTTAACCCATGCAATTTGCAAAAAATAAGAGTGATAATCTCAGTTGTAAGTAGTACGTTGGAAATCAGAGACTCGTATATACAGTGATGGGGAGTATAAATTGGAAAAACTTTGAACAGTGATTTGGCAGAATATATTAAAAATGTGCACATCATTTGTCCTAGGAAGTCCTTTTTCAGCTATCTGAAAAACTGTCACCATGTGTAGTTAGGCATTTACAAGTTGTTTACTGTAGCATGATTTATTTTATTTTATTTTTTTGCAGCATGATTTATAATGGTGAAAAACTAGACATCATCTTGATGAAAAGCTGTGAAAGGAGGACTTACAGGCACAGAAGCACTAAGGCAAAAAAAAAAAATAGTTGCAGAGTTTCATAAGGGAGTTTCTATTCAGAAAGACGGACTTCTGAATTAAAAAAATTAAAAAATAAAACAACTTAAAAGGTTATTACTAGGTAATTGCTTCATCCTTTCTCATTCTTCTTTATAATCCTCATCTCATTATTTGCCTATGAATTATACCTGCTTTGAATCACCTTTTCAAGTTGGATGAATATAAATAGAGGTGAATGGAGAGAAAAAAAAAGTATTTTGTTAATCCTATTCCAACAGAATTTTCCATAAACCTACATCTTCTAAAACTCATATTCTGTCACAGTCTCTCATAGATGCATACTGACCCTTGTATTAAAACAGTAAACTGTGAGTCTAATTTCCTATAAATTTTGTATCCATTCAAGCATCAGTATGGATGCTCTTGGGCTCACCTTCAGATAAGCCTACCATACACTGAAAAACCCTAAGTAAAAAATGAATTTTATACACCTCATCTATCAAACATTATAGGTCAGCACCATTGTCTCATAAATTTTCTTCTCTAGATGAATGAGAAAGGCAGAGGCAATAACCTACTAATAACCTTTTTAATTCTATTCAAATCAGAATACTAATACTCCAATTTGAATAGAACGTGGGGAGCAGGAATGGAATACTGGGAAAAGGAGGCTACCAAGGAAGAGTGCATGCAGTTGCAGTCTTGCAAATCTTAGTGAAATTAAGGCTTTTTTTTTTTTTTTTTCACAGAAGCACTTTCTTTTTTTTTTTCTTTTTACAGAAGCACTTTCTACACAGATATTCAGAGCAATTTTATTGGTGATAGCTTGAGTTGGGAAACTATGATGTCTGTCAGTGGCTAAACTGGTACATCTGTACCACGGAATGCTACTCATCGGTATAGAGAAAGCATTCTGTTGTGTCACTTTCAAGAAGTAACATAATTATGGAGACAACAAACAGATATTAGTGGCCAGGATGGGAATGGGGGGAGAGTAAGGCTGTAAATTGATCACAGAGAGAGTTTCGTGGTAATGTCACAATTGAGTTTATGGCAGTGGTTACACAGGTTGTATGTGTGATAAAATAGCATCAAGGTACACATGTGAACCCAAGTACATATGCACACACACAGTATGTCTAACTGTCGAAGTCTCAGTAAGTGCTGTGGATTGTACCCACTTCCCATTTTTGATGTATCAGATGTGTAAAGAATTGATACGGGTTTTTGGTACAAGGTCTTGCTATGCAGTTCAGACTCGGTAGTGATCCTCCTGTCCCAGCCTTCCCAGCACTGGGATTATAGGCGTGCACCACCATATCTGGCACAAAGAGTTGATGTTGGGGTTGCATGAGGGAAAAATGCAAGGAATATCCTGTTCATTTCTTTGTAATCTATCATGTCTATACTTTTTTCAGAACATGTTCTTAGGGAATTTAATGTACAAAAAGGATGAAACTAGAGGAGACAAATTTCTGAATAAGGAGTAGTTTACTTAATGTTTACAGTTTCCATCTTGTAGATGAGAAAACTGACTTATTAAACTTGGCATTTGAACTGATAAATAGCCCAGCAGATACCCAAATGAAGATTTGTTTCACTCCAGAAACTTCCTGTCTTGCCATCCATGTTAGCATTTCCATCGGGTTTCTCTGAAAGCTTTCTGAGGGCCAGGACCTGGTTTATACAATTCTTTTTAAACAGAATTATGGTATTAAAGCTCTCTTAAGGGCATCTTGACAAAGGTGCTTCTAAAGAGACATGTTAATTTAGATCTTGCATTAGTTTCCTATGGCTGCTGTAGCAAATAGAACACAGGATGGTTTAAAATAAGAAAAACATACTTTTTCTTACTCTGGAAGCCAGAGTTCAAAATTAAGGCGTCAAAATGGCCATATTACCTTTAGAGGTTCTAGGGAGTGAATACCTTTTTGCTTCTTCCAGCTACTGGCATTCCTTGTGGGTGCGTCACTTCAGTTTCTGCTTCTGTTGTCTCATCTGTATCTCTTTCTCCCAAGGGCATTTGGTTGTTGGATTTAGGGTCCACCCAGGTAATCCAGGATGAGTTTATCTCAGGGTCATTAATTAATTACATTTGCAAAGACCTGCTTTCTAAGTAAGGTTTCACTAACAGGTTACAAGGGTTAGCACAGGGACATGGCTTTTTTGGGGCCACCATCCAGCCTACTAGAGGGCTGATAGTAAAAACGACTACTGTCATTAGAGGTAACCACTGAAGAGTTTGTGTCAGTTTCTTTATCTTCCCAGTTCATTGTTGGGTCAAACACTTTGTAAAAGCAGTTTGTATTTTTTCCTTTTCAGGATATGAACAATGAACACTTAGTCCTCTTCAAACCTGGAGAGGACTAAAGTGTATAAGACTGTGTACACAGAGGAGCTGCCATCCTAACATTTCAATGGGGCATCCATATTTCAAGGCCCAGTCTCTTAGGCAGAACCTATCTTTGCTTCCCCAGATGAGCTCAGTTGCTCAGTTCTCTTACCTCTTACAGAATGTTATTTATACCTGTGTTACTATACTTTTTAAGCTTTATCATAAATTACTTTTTCATTTGTATCCCTCATTGCCCTTGGAATTCTGGAGCACATGTGTTACGTCTTATTCATTGCTATGTAGTAAATTTTGCATAAGTAGGTTAGTGAAGGACTGAACTAAGGAATAAATCAGGCAAAAGGATGTGGAGAATCTTTGAATTTTCTGGATTATCTAATCTGGGCAATGGATATTATAAGCAGACCAGGAGAACCTGCCAGTGAGATTGTGTTTCAATCCCTGTATTCTTAACCTCTTGTACTATAGTCTGCAATTAATTGAAATGAAGCTGAAATAGATATTGAAATTTGGGAACATAGAGTAGTGAGATTTGATTGTCCCTTAAAGACAATGATGAAAGCACCTTGAAAGGTTCTACTTTACTTAATTAGCCATAGAAATTCCTTAAAATAATCACTCAAGCAATTTTACTTTGTCTTTGGTGATATTTGACCTAAAAGTCAGTCCAGGTGTAGCAGAGGAACAGTTGTCTTAAAATTAGACAAACCTGGGCTAAAATTCTGTATTGCTTCTGTGTAAATGATTTTTGAATAAGTCATTTAGCTTTTCTGAACCTTTCTTCATCTGTAGCTTGTGTTTCTTTATATTGCTTATCTTTCATAGGTATGGTGAAGATTAAATTTGTGTGTTAGATCTGCTTTAAGTGCTTTATAGACAGAAAATAGTAATATTGAGATCCTTTCCACCCTTGATAGAAAATAAGTGGAAAATGTGAAGATGATAATATAAATTAGTAATTACTTATACTTAACAAAATTTTGCTGTGAGAATGCTACTGATACTAAAGAATAGTAATTTATTATATGTTGTCCTCTGTTGATCAAATCCTACACTTTATTTTCTAATTATACTTACAATGATTTACTAAATGATGTTACTTTCTGTAACTATTAAGAGCATGAGAAACAAGATAAATTGAGATATTAATTGTAGCTATAATAACCCAGGAAGGGTTACAAACAGGATTAGGTATGGAATGATAAATATTCTCTGGATTTATGGGCCCATACTTGGGAAACCAAGCCCTAGGGGGAGCATAAACATTTGATTTGCATGAGGTTATGTTATTTATTCGAAGACTTAGTGGAACCTATTGCTTAGGATGGGATACCCCTCCCAGACAGGTTGGGAAAATCTCCAGGGTTGCAGCCAGGGCACAGAGGACAGTTTCCAAGCACTTAGGCCAGTGCTTCCTCCCTCCCTTCTTGGGAAAGAATGCAAAGTGCAGCTTCCACCGCTACATCCAGGCCATATGCTCCATTAACCATCATAGGCTCCTTGCCCAGTTGCTATTTTAATAAACCTGGTTGTACTCCTAATTTCTCTTAGAGGGCTCACTGGGTAGGCCACCACTAGTAGAACCTTGGATTTCCCCTCTGGTTAACCTGAGAGCTGTTAGATGAATATTCTGCTCATGCTATTAGTATTGGCTTAAGGAAGCTTGGCTTTCATTGTAATGGGTGTCACAACTCATGCTCTTTAGGCCAACAGCAGCAGAGTATAGTTGATGTTTGAGGCTGTTATGAGGAGATGATATTTCAGGAAAGAATAACTACTTTAGTATTGCTGCTTTCCCCCCCATAAAGGTAGGGGTATGAAAAAAAAAAAAAGGTAAGGGTATGTCGTGACAGAAATAGAGGACTAATACATCATACTTGTCCTAAAATTTATCTTCACCTTTTTCTCTGATACTTGCAGTTGAACCTACAGTCTCTGTCCTGTGCTGCATCACCAACTCCCTTTTTCATTTTAGAATTTTGAGACGGATTGCTGCATCACTAAGATACCCTGGCTGGGTTTGAACTTTTGGTCCTATTTCAGTCTTCCAGAGTACTGGGATTACAGGCATGTGCCACAGTGCCCAGTTCTGTCTTCACATTTTTAATGTATCATATTACATATATATATTCTTCTTTGAGCCTATATCCATTATATTTGTTAGTGTTTAATTTATACATGAAAAACTTTACTGATCTTTCCTTGGATCTTGAGTACGACCTCAGAGGTTTGTTGACCTTCTAATTTTCCAAGAGAACTAATTTCTCCAGATTCTTGTTGATGTTTTTAACTGTTTGATTTGTGTTATAATGTTCTTAATGTCACCTGGGTAACAGTTAGCAGAAAGATTTACATTTGGAAGACCAGGGTGATCTTCAAATGCATTGGAAGAACACAAAACCACTATCCCCTCTATTGCCTCACTATGTGTCACTAGGAGAAACATCAGTACAGTATAGGAAAAAAACTCACTGTTGCCTGTGAGTGCTGTGCCCACAAAAAAGGAGTGGGCGAAAAAATAACCGAGGTGGATCAAATCCTTCCACCCCCTGCCTTCAGCTGCCTTTACTAGGAGCCAACTTTCCCTCTTGGGTCCTTGAGAGATGCTTAATTTTAATTGACTGAGTTCTACTTTGTGTTTTGAAAACCACATAGAAATGAGAAGTAAGTTAAAGAGTTCCACTCCCTGCTTCCTTATCCCTAAACAAACAAATCCAAGATACTCAACAGCCTTAAAACTGAATCTTGGGCTGGTACCAGAGGCTAGGTCTGTGATAGGCCTTATATTTCTGGAAAGTTTAAGAAATGAAGTTAACCACACTCAGAATGGTGTTGTGTTGCTAACTTTGCCCTGGGAGTAACCCAGTGGAGATGCTGCTCTAAATTGGATTTTCCCTTTTCCTAAATAGTTTTCAAACAATTCAAGGTGGTCACACTTGTGAAGAAGACAGGGTGTAGTGGTAGATTTCATTGCTCTGAAGTGCTTCTGGTTTTGAGAGGGGATGTGACATTGTTTCTCCCCAGTTTTTATAGCACTTCCTTGTCACTGGGCTTCATTTGTCATTTGCTGCCCTCCAGATCTTTGTTTCACAGCCTGTGGAATCTTGGCTTCAGAGAAATAAATGGACCCAGGAGAGAGTGGTATTTTAAGAAATGGAATGAGGATCACTCACATTTTAAGTTAATAATAAAATCCAAATGTAATTGGCCAGATCCTCCCAGGAGGGAGTGTGCGTAATCTGTCCTCAGGCCAATGTGAGAGTTTGGCATTTCTAGGCATAGAGGAGGCCACCCTCATACAGCCAGGGAGGAGCCCACTTGGGACCCTGTGGCCAAGACAATATTAAACACCAGGAAAGTTCTGTGAACAGAAAGGGCAAACTGCAAAGGTGGAAATAGGATTGAAAGTTGTTTGTGGAGTTATATGAACTGTGGCACATCACAGATCGTATCTTTCCCGCTTTAAAAAATGCCTGTGAAACGTATACTCCTCTAGTTACTGCCTTCCCTTGCATAGCCAAGATTTTAAAAATGTGTCTTACTGGTCACATTTCTTCACTTTTCTTTTACGCCCTAGTTTTATGTTTAGCTTCTATCTCTTCTCTTTCTCAAACCGCCCTCCTTAAGATTACTGATAACTTCCTGGTTGAAAAAAGGCAAAACAACAGAAGACATACAGTTTTAACTTCTATCATTCAACAATGCTTTGCTTTCTGGGGTTATCCTCTCTTGTTTGTTCTTTCTTTGTTGTTCCTTCTTAGTCTAAGGCTTGTTATCCCATTCCATAAGAATCCAACAGCAGTCTCTTATTTTTGCCTATTATTTTTAGGAAATCTTCAGTTTTTTCATAGTTTTAAACTGGGATTGAAGAAAGTAACAATTTCTTCAATCTATATCATTAACTTAGTTGTCTTTCCTGAGCTTTAGACTGCTTTTTATGTGGAATGTTCCAAAGCTAACTCATTCAAAATTCCCAGCCACCCAAGCTTGTTTCTCCTTTCTTATATACACAGGTAAGTGTGTACGTATTTTGTTAAATAGCATCATGATTCTGTGAGACCCTCAAGCCAGAAAGCTGGATATCCTTTGTTGGTAGCTTTTAATTGATCTCCCTGCTTTCAGTGTTTTTCTCTCTGTGACCTTTTTATGAAATAGCAAGGTTTGATTTTTTTTTTTTTTGAAGAGTAAATCAAGTCTCATCAAATCTTTCTTAAAAGTTTTTGATGGCTATTTATCTCTAATAAGATAAAATAAAAGTTTCTTGGCAGGGCATATTCTGGCTCTCTTCTCTTTAGCCTATCTTTTTTTGTTCCCTTCATTGTTTGTCATTCTTTCTTAGATGTAGCTTTTATAGGAGTAGAGACTTTGTTTTATTGCTTTATTCCTGCAACATTGAAGAATGTTGGCACATGTGGGTAACTAATAAATGTTTTTCAAAATGAAAAATCAAAACAAAAAGTGTCTTTAGATTCTGAGTCTCAACCAGATTAATTCCAGTACCCTGAACTGCAGCATAGTTGTAAAGTCCCTTTTATTTTTCTTTATAATCCTGCTCTCTTTTCCTGCTCAACTTCTGCATATTTTTAGTACTGGATTCTGTCACCTCTTCCAGCAGTCTCACTTTGATCTTGCAAGTTTAAAGGTTAATACCTTCAACAGACTCCATAACTCATATAGTTAATATGTAATTTTTAATTAATGTATCCGTCTCTCCCATTAGACTCACTTCTGGCAGAGATGATATTTGATTTGTATCTTCAGAATAGTGGAGCTTTATAAAATACACTGTGGAAACTCATATTTAAGTAATTCTTTGGTGAAATTAGTTTAAGTCATAGAGTCCTTTGCTAATGTACATTAGCTGTCTTCCAGGTTCTTCTGCTTGCCAAGTTTTGATTTTATATACTGAGATATTTTCAAACATAGGAACACATATATACTTGCTTATAGAAGAAGCTCATCTTCTTCCTAAAGTTTTTATAAGAATAAGAACATACATGGTATCTATAGTATCTATTAAATTCTGTGCCTCTCTGATATATTGTCTTGCAAGTAGTTCTTCTGGGTATGGAGATTACTACTACCATTTTACATACATGGGAAGAGACTTGGAGGTAGTAATCCATCTAAGCATGTATTGCTAATAAAGCTGGGATTTGAATCCAGGTCTCTTGATTTCTAAACCCAAACTCTTTCTGTTACGTCTTGCTGCCCTCTACGGGACAAGCCCACAAAGCAGAACTGCTTATTAAAAATATTATAAAATTGGAATTCTTCTATGCTATAGAATCAAAAAAGATGCTTTGAATGGGTATTATTTTAATTGATGGGGAAAAAGATGCTAGTCTTAAGACTAGGGCAGGAATTACACAGACTTGCATTTATTTAGCCTGCTTTTTCCTCTGCTTATAAGTATAAAGGCATTTTATAGAAATTTGTGTTGACCAAATCATGTTGTCGCTGATAGCATTTGCTAGGTAAAGTTGGGATTAACCCTGAGAGAGGAACTAACTTCCTACCTCTAGAGGAGTTGATTTTAGATTATTACTGTAGTTTCTGACCCTTCCACTGTTCTGGTTTTTGTTTCTGTTATGTTCTTTGGCTCTGATCAGTGTTTCTGGCCAGTTGGTCCAATGAATGCCTCAGCACAAAGAACCTTACCCAGCAGAGAGAAGAATCTGGTGACAATCAGAGAACTGAATTTTATTACTTACCACTAACTGTCTTTCTTCTGTGCATCTCAGGAGATGGTGATGGTGATGGAAGACAATCTATATGTGATGATGTAGAGTTAATTTTCTTTAGGTTCTGCTCATCTGAAGGATCTATCAGCTTAGTGATAAGCAATCCAGAAACTGGTTGTTTGTATCGTGCATATTGTAGAGCATCCATGATCCATCTCATTTCACGCCAAACTTCATCTGTTTGCTTGGGAATAAAATGGTAAAATATATTAAGCCATGAAACAGCTATTGAAAAGAGGTAAGTTCTTGAGGGCTTAAGATAATCAACTTTTCCCAGTATTGATTTTAAGTAAGTGTAAAATATTTTCAAAACATGTTTACTTAGCCAGAAAATGCCTTTGTAACTTTGTGTTTTGCATATTATTTTTTGGCATAGAACTTTGTCATATAGTGGGAATAGTGGAAGACCCAGATTCTACTTAGCTCTATAATTATTTAGTTTTGAGGCTTAGTTGCCCTTATTTGTAAACTATGGACAAAATATCTCCCTCTTGTTTCTCACAGGGTTGTTACAGTGGTGGCATGAAGTGATAAATTTGAAAGTGCTTTGTGGTACTTCAGGGTACATTGCACACACATATAAAGAGCTATTATCTTTTAGCATATAATAAAATCTCATTGGAGCTTTGTGGGGAAGGGATATAATAAAGTATGAATTTAAGAATTTCTAGGTTAAGAGAAAAGTATATTTTAAATGTTTCTTGTATAAAAAGTACCTCTAAAGTACAAAACAACTTACCTTTTATGTCTATTTATTATTGTTTTCAATACACATTTGCATCCATCTGAGGGAGTAGATGTGTGTACTTGACACACATTGATTCTTTTTATTTCTTTTTTCCTTTTTCCATTTCTAGATCCCCTTTCTGTTTGCCAAAGATCTATTTCCTATTCCCTGTGTCTTTTTTTAACAATACTTATGCTTTGAGTCTCATGTAAGAGAAGTTACACATTTAAACTTGTGTATCTGATTTATTTACTTAGTACCATTGTATCTCAAAGTGTATCCATTTTTCTACAGTGACCCAAATTTCTCCTTCTTTATGACAGAGCAGTGCTCCATATTTATCTGTGACGTATTAATACATATAAATATATGTATTAATATATGTATTAATATGTATTAATACGTATTAATATATGTATTAATATATATAAACTAATTTCAAGATTTAGCTCTTTTGCGTTATGCTGCTATAAACATGGGTATGCATGTATCATTGTGCTATGATGTCTTTAGCCCTTTTGGGAAAATATATAGTAAGGGAAGAGATAGTTTGAATGGAATTTCTAGATTTTTAAAAAAAAATTTTTATGAACAAGGTCTCGCTACGCAACTTGGACTCATAGTGATCCTCCTGTCTCAGCCTCCCCAGAGCTGCAATTACACACATGTGCCACCACACCCAGTTTTGGTGGTCAGCATGGTGGCATGACATGCAGTACCGGGGATCAAACCCAGGTCCTTGTGCTTGCCAGGCAGGCATTTAGACCACTGAGCTATCTGGATTTTTTAAAAGGAATTTCTGCACTAATTTCCATAATAGTGGTGGTGTTTGCATTGCTACAACAATAAAAACACTGTATTCTGAAGTAATTCAGGCATTCTTTATTTATTTATTTATTTATTTATTTATTTTTGTATTTTAGGACAGGGTGTACAGGATCTCACTGTATAAATCAGACTCGTAGTGAACCTCCCAAGTGCTGGGATTACAGGCGCATGCCACAACCCCCAGCGTCAATCTCAGTCTCAGCATGCCCCAGGGGGGAGGCCGGCAGGGCCAGGGGATCCAACTTCCAACTCCTGTGTCTGCCTAAGCAGACGCTTTAATCTGCTGAGCTATTTGGCCGGCCCTAATTTAGGCATTCTTGAAGTTTTAGAATAGTACATTTTAGCTTGGTACCATTTTGATTTTGGATTACCAAAATTAATGACATTTTCATTATAAATTGCAACAGTAGTGTTTATGAAGTACACTGGTATAAAGGTCACTCAGATCTTTTGTGTCTCTTTCTGTACATGGTCGCTGTTTGGACAGATACTGACAGATGCCAGCCATAGTCTCATCCGGTTATTCTAATTCTCAAGAAGGGCTGTGAGTTACACAGTATTTCAGAGGACTTGAGCCTGGGGTTTCCTTTGCATCTACTTTTACTAGATGGCTTGAGCAAGGTATGAACTACTTTAGACCACTTAACTATGAAAAGGGGACATTGGAGTAGTCAGTAGAGGTGAGCTGGTGGCACATGTGCAGCAGCAGGCTATTTAATCGTGAAAGCTCTGAAAGGTTTGCTGCTATTAGACAAGGTGATAACTAAGGTTACTTTCACTCTAATACTTTTTAATTTTTTTTAAAAAAAATCATTTATTTATGAATTGGTACAGAGTCCCACTATGCAGCTCAGACTTGTAGAGATCCTCCTGTCTCAGCTTCCCCAGCGCTGGAATTAGAGGTGTGTGCCATCACGCCTGGTTCTGGTGGCTGGCTCAGCATGGAGCCAGCACTGCATATGTTGCCAGGGATTGAATCTAGGTCCTTGCATGTGCCAGGCAAGCACTTAGACCATGGAGCTATCTCCTCGGCCCTCTGATAGATAATTTTATTATTTTTTAAAGAACATTTATAAGTTGCCATTCCACTTCCAGGTAGAAGGTGTTCATTGTATGAGTAATACAAGATTAAGATCTACCTGATGATAGAGATTTTAAATCTAAGGTATTATCCAGTATTATAGCTTTAGAATTCCTTCTTAGGTCTTTAATTAGTACTCAAACCTGCTCTGTAAGAATATTCACAAACCTGGTACTCCCCAAACAAAGCAGAGTCTGAAATAGTGACTTTCAGTGTGTTAGGTTGAGAGTGACAGGCAACCTAGCATAAACTAATGAATGGTGCAGTGTGGTTGATAGCCACTTGATTTTGATTTTCAGTTCTGTTCTATATGGAAGTAGCAGGACTCATCAGAGTATTCAGGGCTGGTGATAATAGTATGAGGTTAAACCTCCAGGATTTGGTAGCTAGGTGAATTGAGGAAGTTTGGCAGTAGGCAGGCCCCTATGTGGACTCTAAGCCATTCTGAAAGGAGAAATCAGAAATTTAGAGCTCAGACAATTGGGAATCCTAGATGAGAATGGATTTTTATGATGAAATCTCTGCTTTCTCAATTGGCTTTGACTGGCTGTATCACATGTAGCACGTTCTTGTCTCAAAGTTATGTTAGAAGCACTTATTGATTGTGGACAGCTTTTACAGTGTCTGTCAAGGGCAGGGACTATCATTTTGTATCTCTTTGCCTTCAGCTGTATAGAATAGGTTTTCCAAAAAAAGATTATTGATTGAAGGGCTGAATAAATAAATGGGATATATACATAATATTTTATATCTGTATTTTAAAACAGTGATAAGGATTAAAATAACATAGGTTAGTGCATTGTTACAGAGTTGCATTGTCATGATTTTCATGATTACTACAGTGGGTTAAATATATGTCTTGTTATTACTTTTCTCTTCTTGCTGAGACAAAATATCCAGTATGCAAAGTTAAAGGCTTACTTAGCTCACAGTTTGTAGAGGTTTCAGTTCATACTCAGCTGGTTTCTGACATGGCAGAGGGCATTGCAAAGCGAAAACAGTTCATGACAGGCAGAAGGTAGCAAAGCAAGGAAGGGGGAAGACGAGCCTCTTTCTGTTCCTTATATTGTATTTTGGCTACTGGGATTAGGATGGTACCAAACCAGTCAGTGAACTGGTTTGGTAATCATCCTCCTTTAATCCTAGCACTTCACTATGAATCAGTCTCACACTCTAGATTCAGCCACCAATGAAAAAGCCTCACTTATGACTTCATGGGGCTTTGGAGAACATCTAGGTATGAGCTGTAACAGTGTGGCTGCTGAAGAATATGTTTTATTCTAATCTCCAGAACCCATGGCTGTTACCTTATATATTAAAGAAGTAAATATTAATTTACATTACAAAATATGTGATTAAGGATTTTGAGGAGTTTATTTGGGCTGATCCCATTTCTAATGACAAATGTCTTCATAAAGTCACTCTTATAAGACTAAGGTAGAGAAAGATTGAGAAGGTGTAAGAGAAGGAAGCAGTGTGACCATAGAAGCAGGGAACAAAGTCATAAGGCTGTAAATCAAGGAATGCCAGCAGTCACCCAGAGCTGGAAGAGGCAGAGAATGACTTTGCTCTTATGGCCAGCGTGTTAATCACCTTCTGATCTCCAGAACTATGAAAGAATGCATTTCAGTTTGAGGGCACCAAGTTTGTGGTAATTTGTTGTAGAAGTCTTAGGAAATTATTATAGTTGTTAATAATCTACCTGTTCTCTTTCAATACAAAGTTTTAGCCTGTTGCTTAAGATGCATAGTGTGGAAATTTAAAAACATTGTCTAGAAGCAGTGTTCACTTAATTTTTTTCAGTGATGAGGTGGAAAGGTCTAACGAAAGAAAAGTAAAAACCCATAGGTACAGGGAGGCCTGTATGTTGAGTTTAAAAAGACTCAACTAAGTAGCTCCAAAAGAAGTACAATTTTCACCCATTTTACTTTATACTGTTGATCTGAAAGTAACTGACAACATAATCCCCCCTTATTTTAAAGTCCAAATTCAGCTTCTAAAGACTTGCTGACACACTTGTAAAAAGAAAGACTACATACTTACTAGGTCTGCTGATTAAAAGTTCTGTATCCGTTTCTCACCCTGCTCTTTAAAAATTTTGGTTTTCATCCCATAAATTATATCCCTTTCTCTGTACTCAGGCAAGATAATATTTTTATTAAAATGTAAAGGTGATTGGTTTTCTCACAGCACAGCTACAAGGTGCTTGAGGGGATGATAGATTGGCTATATTTAATGAGCTATGTTTTTATTACAGCTTAGAAGCATTTGAAGCATTACAGTATATAAATTATGGCTCAGTTGCCCTTTAGGCTTCAGCAGCTCAAAAATTGCCACTTTCCAGGTCTCCACACTTTGACATTACTCTCTTCTTTCTTTTTTCCACTCACTTTGACATGTCTGCTGTATGGGCTGTCTATAAAGCCAGTATACCTTATCTTTGGTTTTCTACACCACTCCTGGCCTAGCCCTCCCCCTTCCTGGCTGCACTTCTTGGCTTCTTTTCCTCACTGTATTTATATAGACTGCCTTGCTCTTTACAATGTTTGGTTTGTGTAGTGACTTCAACACTGTCTTAGATCTGGACTCATACAAATGTTCTTGCGACTGGCGGTCGCCTCTGCAGGTTATGGTGTGCGGTGGGCTGAGCTCTGAACACCAGTGGTGAGTGGCTGCAGCTGGTTTTCATTTTGAGAGAGACTGAGAAGTCAGCATAGTAAGAGGAGAGAGGATACTGAAAGCATCTCCCCTCAGTGAAGTTTATGCAAGTTAGGTAGAGCAGGGTGGTACACTGAAGCCTATGGGTACAGGGAGATGATCTGGTTTTACCCGACCCAACAAGTTATTTGTGGAACCCTTTGGGAATTGGCTTTTATCCAAGTCTGTGTATACCTAGCTGGCTGGAAGAAGGGCATGTACAGGGGTTCTCAAGTTACCTGCTTTGGGAGACCAGAACAGGCAAGTACTTCGAAAAATTTCTGGGCTGGCTTGCCTTTATCTAGCCCTTTAGTAGTGTGATGAAAAGGAAAGAGAAAAAGGCAAGGGAGCTGTAAGCTAAGTGAGAAAGAGAGGAACAGGGCAATAGTAAGGAGAGGAGTCAGGAACTCTGAGGGGAACTCGGACTTCAATAGACTAAAGAAAGTCAGCTTCCTCTTTGGATGAACATACTTGATTTAGGAAGGCCTCAGTAGAGTAATGCAGAAAAGACCTAAAACATGGCATGGTTAGAGAAGTGTTTCTCTCAATGTATTTCTAGTTGGTGGAGCTGACTAGCTCCTTAGAATTGATCTAATCCAATCCTCTCATTCCATTCATACAAGAGGAAATAAGGCCTCAGGAGATAAGAGGAATCTTCCACTACTCCACAGTTTATCAGCAGAATACTCAGGACTGAGATGTGCATTGCTTGACTTTGGGTGCATTATTATTCTTACTGCTGCATTGTCTCTAAATAATTTTTTTGGGGAGGAGGGGGCATGATACCATTTATTGAACCCAGGTCCTCACACCTACTAGGCAAGCACTGTTGTACTGAGCCATACCTCAAACTTTTTTTTACTTTTATATTTTAAATATCTGAGACAGGGTGGTTTTGCTAAGTTTGCCAGATTGGCTTTTTAAAATTTTATTTATTTATTTTTTAATGTACTTAATAAAGGGTCTGCAGGGTCTCACTACACAGATCAGACTTGAAGTGATCCTCCTGTCTTCAGCTTCCTAAGCACTGAGATTGTATACATGTGTCACCATGCCCAATCTCAATCAGTCTCAGTGCACCCCCGGAGCGGGGCCAACACAGCATGCTGAGGATCTAACCCCAATCTCTGTGTCTGCCTAAGTGGGTATTTTAATTCACTGAGCTATATCTGGCTGGCCCCCAGATTGACTTTGAGCTTGTGATCCTCCAGCCTCCCAGGTAGCTGGGGTTATAAGTGTTTCTCACCATTCCTACTTTTCAATTTTTAAATCCTATATTCTTAGTTCAAGAGGGCAAGTAACTTCTTAAGTTATTTCTTTATTCTGAGAAGTCACCTAAGATACTTCACTTATAGGGTGAAGAAAGTAGGGTAATGTTAAAGACGTCTTCTCACTACTTGTAAGTATATCATAATTTTTTCTTTATGAAGGCTTTGAAGCACTGAGATTGTATACATGTGTCACCATGCCCAGTTTTTTCTTTATGAAGTTTTGTGGAACTGGGGATTGAACTCAGGTCCTTGCACTTGCCAGGCAGGAGCTTATTCTACTGAGCCATCTCCCCGGCCCCTCAATTTTTTTTCCAAAGTTTTATTGATAAACAGCAATGAGACAGTTTCAAATCAAATCAGAAGTACAGTTTCAACAAATAATACACTGCATATATTCTTCTTAGTGGTTAATTGCTGTACAAGATGCGGACTTGTGATCCTATTTACAAACACCATTAGAACAAATCATTCTATTCAATAAGAGAATGCAACTATATATCTATCCCAACCTCTTTGAATACACAGATACAAAATGGACATTCATCGGTGTACCCCATTTTTTCTAAGTTCCATTATTGAATATTATAGGTGTGTAAACTCAGCAAAATATTCTAAAAGAGTCCAGTAGCCCATAATAGCATTGGGTCTTCTGTTTAACTGGCAATGTCAGAAATTATTGACCTGAGTCCCCCACAGCTCAACTTAACAGCATGGCTTTATTTCTTATATTTCGACTTCATACTTTTCTACTGGATGGTTAAGACCAAGGTAAAGCAAGACCTATGCAACGAGTTGTAGCTTTTTGGTCTGAGAAGGTCAGTGAAATGCCCTCAGGATTTGTCCTGAGATCCTGTACCTCAGATTGTAGAACCTTTATCAGTGCAGCCATGTGGATGAGTCACGGCCATTGCTTGGCCAATGTGCTCTCTGTGAAAGCCTGAGAGAGTGTCTTCTCCCCATGTGACTCTCCTTAGGCCCACTCTATGTCATCGATCACTTTCCTCTTTGGCCCCATAATCTTCTTGATCAGAAAATTTGGGACACTACCGAGTGTGTATGACGTTACAGTACAAGTTCTCATATGTCCTGAGTCTTAATTGACCTTAGAAGGCTAGGGCCAAAATGTTGGCTTTCCTTGTATCCCTCCTTTTTCTCTAATTTTGGTCTGAAAACCCTCAATTTTTGTATAGTCATATTTCAGAGTAGTTTTACTTTTTACTAATAAGTGAAAGAATGATATAGAATTTACTACATAGTTATGATGTGCCAGGTACTCTTCTATGTGCTTTACAAGCATTCTCTCCTTGAATTCTTTCACTTAACACTATGAGGTAGTGTGGTTACGATCCCGATTTTTCAGATGAGATTTGGGCTAAGAGTGATTTATCGTCCCAAAGTTGAAAGCATTTTCTTATCTTAAATTCCCATTGCCCCTGGTTTGGATAGTTGTACGAATTATTATCTGGTCTCTCTACCTTTTATTCATCTTCTTAAATCCAAGGGAGAGATGCAAATTATAGGGGAGCAAGACCAATCAGAGTGCATGCTTACAATCAGCAACCAGCATGGCCATAAAAACACACAGGAGACAAGTAGCCCTGCTGCTTAAACCTCTCCTACACAGAGACACGACCACCTATAATTTACTTTCTCCAAAACTTTGGCTAGCACCCTCTTACATACAAAATTAAGTGCAAATTCCTTATAAGGGGCTTTAATAAAATCTTTGTGAACTTACCTCATAGCTATTTTTCAAGATCTTGCCTAATTTCTCATTACTGTTCAACATTTATCTATACTCCCTCTGGCCTCAACAGTATATTACTTTCCCAATACTATTTTTCTGTTGTTCTTGCCTTCCCTGTTCATGCTTGTGTCTGAATGCTCCACATTCTGTTTTTTCTTACTATTATGTAATAATATTTTCCTACAGGGCTAGCTCAGATGTCATTGGCATCTTCTATGGTAATTCTCATATCTACAGAGAAAGTAAATTTTTATTTCTTTGTGTTGATGTAGAGCTTTTTTTTTGTATTTCTTTTTGATACTTAACAAATTTTACAAATAATATTTATATGCTCTTGTCTACTACAGTGGACTTTAAACTCCTTAAGGTTAGGGACCTGTTTCAACTTTGTATCTCCCATATATGTGTATGTCCTATCCACTCATGCAATGACACCTTCGGTGCTTATCGTATTTATGAAATTGAAATAAGTACATATCATGGTGGTAAATTAATCATGGCCTTTCACTATTCTGTTAGTCTATAAGATTTGGATAACTAATTTAGAAGCAATTTCAGGTCAAATTCAAATTCTCATGACTATTCCTTGTTAGTACCCCTTTTATAAGATCCTCAGGTGTAACCATACATCTCCAGATAAGATCATAGTCAGTGAACACAGTTTCTTACCTTAATAGCCTCACATTAAAGTGTCAACTCTGCCAGATAGAAGTCCAAAAATGAGGAATCTTAGGGATAACTGGATTCCAGTTTACAAAAACTGGTAATTTTCTCATTCTCTGCGATATTAGATTTTATATATCTCTATCTCTATCTCTATCTCTATCTGTATCTGTATCTCTATCTCTATCTCTATATATATCTATATATGGATTTTTTGGTAGGCTTTTACATAAGATTAATACTTTGATTATTATTTCTGGGGTCATTTTTTTCCCTTCTACAGTGTGGTAAGCCATTGATACCTACTATGGTGGTATAATTCTTAGGAATAATATGAGTTATCTGTAACTTTTTAGGTAACTTTTTCTTAAATCTTTAATAACTCATATCTACTTGTGCTTCACATTTTAGCCAAATTACCAGGCTGCTTGCTCACTGTGATTTTTGAATCAGTCAAGATTTCTGCTCTTTCCCCACTTGGTTCTCACCCCTCCCACTCTGTCTTTCGTTTTCTCCTTAGCTGAGAAGAAACAAACTCTTACCTGAATGAAATCTAAAACTTGCTGATGTCTTTGTTTGGCAGCTGCAACCTCGCTGTCTGAGATCGCTTCCCTTAGGGACTGTTGGGTGTTCAGAGAATCCAGCTCCACAACAGCAGAAAGGCGACAATACAGACTAATAAATTTCTCTCTGTAGCTGCAAAAATGAACTGGAAAATGGACAAGCAAAGTAGGATATGTTAAGATCTGGTATCAAAATAGAAAGCTTTGTACCTCAGAGAAAGCCAGTTGAATGAAAACATGATTTATTAATCCTATCAGTGGAAAATATTAAGCCATAAGTGAATTATAAATATGCTCTTAAGGGGCCAGTTGTCTGGTTCTAGTCAGACAGTATTCCCTTTTAGGTTTACCAATGCCTGGTGAGGTATGGGGGAATGGTATTAAGTCAAGCTGCAGTTTATGTGGGCTGTTTCCTAAAGCTGGGGACTTCTAGTTTAACAGATAGTCACACAGTAATGTTCCAGCCTGCCGTAGTCTGCATACATAATGATGGCCCAATAAGATTATATCACCTAGTAACATGATAGCCACACAAGTTTGTGTAATTATGCTATATGATGTTTGTATGATAGTGACAGTGCCGAACAACACAAATTACAGAATCTATCCTGAGTAGTAAGCCACACATGACTCTGTGTGTGTGTGTGTGTGTGTGTGTGTGTATGACTGGGAAAATAAACTTATTACTTTAAGAAAAAAAACTCAAGCATCAATTTTTGGTTTTCCTGTCTAATTTCCTCTTATGTATTTTGCTTTATTCTAAGACCAGAACCCCATACATGATACATATTTCTCAGTGCATCTTTTGTCTGATGAAAGACCATCTGTGAGTGGTTTAATATGGGCTTTGATCCTCCTTCTGTGTCTCACCTTCTCAGCTCCTTTTCAAGCACGATGGGAGTGGATATCTGGCCAGACCATTTTGTTTAATAGGCTAGGCTTCATCTCTATCACTTGTCCTTTTCTAGGAGGGAAGAGCAGTGATATGATCTAGTCATATCAAAGCTTCAGATTCCAACAGGACAAGGAAAATGTCCTCATTCAGACTAGTATTATTCCCTTCTTTTCCTGGCCCATTGTGGAATATGGAGACTTACTCTTCAGAAACCTGTTTGTTTGTTTGTTTGTTTATTTATTTATTTATTTATTTATCTCTTAACTGTTGTGTCCCATGCTCTGGAAATAGGATTGTCCCAACAACATGTCTGTTGGAACATTTATGTTATGTCTTATGGGAGTTCTGGAAAGAAGATATAATTGCCAGCCTTTCCCTCTGTGCTATCAATTCCCATGACCAAGATTTCGGCTACTTAGGGAAGCTGAATCATGCTACCTTAGAATGGGCCATCTGGTCAGTTCCACTCCTGAGTCAGGAAGCCTTTTTCAGTGCCTATTGAGAGACGTTTTGTGTACCTCGTTATTCTCATCTTAACATTGACTGCTCTCTTTCTTGATTGTCTCAGAGAAATCAAGAGATTTGCTCTGTTCACTTTCCTCATATGGAGTGGAAGAGAAGAATTTGGTGAAGGCGTCAGTGTTTTTATCCTTACCCCTTAACAGTGGTTTCCTATTTCATTTGAAGAAAGTTTCTCAACAAGGTAGTCTTAGGCCTGGAGTTGAGTTTTTTCCTCTGGTATCAGATCCCTCTTCCCATCTTTTAGCACTTAAAGCACTTCTTTGTCTGACACAAAGTAGAGCTGATTTCATATACCCTTTTGGTAAATGTCAAAGTATTTCACTTTTCTGAAATGGTAGGATTTTCATGCAGTTTCCTTACTTAATGGCCTCTGACAACTTCCTCTTAACTTCAGGAAAAAACTCAAATGTCATCTCTGCATAAGGAAAGAAAAGGATCCTTCTTGTAAGTATTTAGGATTTGAATATATCTGCAATCATAGCTTTCATTGTGTTGCCACCTTCAACTGCCACTAGCTCTGCATCAATCCAAAGATTTGGTCAGGTTGAACTTCCTGCAAACCCTTTGATACTTCTATGGTTTTTAGAAATAATTACTGATGTTTGTAATACAGAATAGTGCTATTTGTTTTGGGGACCTGGTATATGCATGTGACATATCTTGATGATTTTCAATCCTTTTACCTCTGTCTTCCTTCTCCTACCTCTACCTTATCTTGTTTCTCATCTCTTAAGAGTTTCCCATCATCTCTCCTTTACTTTTTTCAATTATTTACTTGTTTGAGATTTCTCAAGTACTTCTACACATGCCTTTTCTTATCTTCAAAACACCATTCTCTACTAACACCTTCAACAATCCTTATTCTGATAATGGAAGATCCCACTGCAGAGTCTTCAGACAAATTTCTACGGACGTCTCTCCTTTTCTAGTCAAAGCTAGTTTCTCCTCCTTTTGTGCTTCTAAAACACTTGTTCCCAGGGCCTGGGGAGATGGCTCAGTAGAATATGTGCTTGCCTGGCAAGCACAAGGGCCTGAGTTCAATCCCCAGTTCTGCCAAAACAAACAACCCCCCTACTTGTTCCCAAATGTATTGTGACACTTGTACACTTAATTGCTGAGATACAGGACTGCGACTTACTTAAGGGTAGGGATTGTGTCTCCTGTTAATTTTTATCTTTCTCAAAACCTGTAACATGGTAGCTTCTCAACTAATACTTATCAAACTTTATGAATAAAGAAATAAATGCATGCGTTGATCTGGAAGGCAGACCCTGCTCTCTTGAAGCACCCATTCCCCTCTGTTCTCACTTCTTGCATTGTGCACTGAATGTTTGTATTCTGAAAGGTATATTTCAGGCCTGTAGTATTTACTAGTAGCCAGAGGAAAGGTGTTACCATTATTTTGTGGCTTATTCTTGACCCCTGTAGCTCCCTGAATGTGTCTATGCCTTTCAAGGAGGGATTATATCCTGTTAGCACTTGACAGATGTCCTCTTTACACTGCAGGATGAAGAAAGCGAAGTGTCTCACGGCCTGCTTTTCCAAACCAAGTTGTAAAAAAACCCAAAAAACCCTCCAAACCTCAGCTTTTTTCCTTTTCTAAAATATGCCTGGGAAAATTGAGTAGAGAAAGATACTGAATAATTTCTTTAAAAGAAATACTATCAGTCCCATCTACATTCTTAAAAACCAGGGTGTTCACAGATTTCTCTTGTGTCTTTGTGGTAGGAGCCACGATCAGTGGGTGGTCTCCTAGCACCCATCCCCTCCATGCCATGAACCACAAGTGAGTTATGAGGAAGTTTCAACTGAAACATTTCAGTTTCCTGCTCTAGTGGTTTTTATGCAGAGTCTTTAATGTCACTTTAACAAATGTCACTTTAACATAGTCTTTTGTGGCTTAGCAATGATACATTTGGTAGCCATCACCCGGGAGGGGAGGACAGAGTGGAAGCTTCTAATTTTTAAAAATGTGAATCACATTCATTTTATAGATAAAATGGTATGAGGCTACAATAATGTCATTATTTAGATCCCATGATGTGTCAGTAATTCACAAACTAAGACTGATTTTGTGTTACTGTTTCTCCCTCTTCTTTATAAAATAGTGATAGAATAAAATACAGTTGGCACGAATTCTAACAATATAGTAGGATAGAAAGTAAAAGAGCATAGATATTACACAGGACTGGATTTGAATCTTAATTCTGCCTGTGTGGTGGTGAGCAGGTAACCTCTAGGAGTCTCAGTACCATTCCTACAAGAGGGATAATAATGTCTACCTACGATTAAATAATAAGTGTATACAAAGTACCTGAAACAGCATAAGACACATACCAGATACAAAATAAATGTTCCTACTCTAAACCTTTCATCCCCAGGAAATGTGAGACATTCTGTGGTTAGAATATTAGAACAGGATTGGTATTAGAATGACCTTCCTAAAGATCTCTAACTCACAAAGTGCAGTGCAGTCAGTCTGGGTTGTATGGCCTAGTCTAGAAGCTAAGGAAGCAACTAGATAACTTCCTAGGGTTAGTGCCATGATTCCTTGCCAAAGCATCCAAAAGAACCTGAGCACAAGGTGCCTCTCTAGATTCCTGGTAATGAGTAGGTTGGCAGTTGGAATACAGGAATGGCGTCCTAAATCATGAAAAATGGGCATCAGGAATGAAGGTTGAGTCGGCACCATTTTTGCAAGCTTGTGGCCTGGATTCCATTAGGCTTGTTGCCTGGGTATCCCACAGGCACCTCAAAACTCATCATTTGTCAAACTGAACTCATCATTTCTCCCCTCCCCCAAGACCTGTCCCTCCCTGCCTATTTCCTGTTTTGGTAGATGGCAATATTATCCATCTCAGCACCATATTCAGACTCTCTGGCTCCTCCACTTTACACTTCAACCACATCAAATCAATCACAAAGTTTCATTGATTTTAACTTCTAAATTCCTCTTTCTTCTGCTTTCTCCTCTGTTCCCTGTGGCTGCCTTGTTCAGGCTCCTGTTGCCCACTTGGTCTAGTGTGGCATCTCTTGTCTGTTTTCCTTTACCTGCCCTGCCTTTCATTATTTTCCTGTGGTCTGTCCTCCCCAGACCTTTAAAAATCCAATGATACCATATCATCCCTTTTCTTAATATTTTGTCATCATTCTCCTTTGCCTAGATGATAGTGTCATCTCCTTAGGACGACACAAGAAGCCTTCCTGAATTTGACTTTTAGATTCCTGGGATGCCCTAAACATTCATTGTGACAAGCTACCAAAAAGTACATCTAATTGAGAAGTATTTTCCTAGGTCTCCAAGATTTTGGGTGTTTAAAATGGTTTTCCTTTTATGCTGTTCCTGTTCTTTGACTTTCTGAATTTTTTTTATTCTTCAGGATCCAACTGAATGGTAAGGAAGGCTGACAGCCTAGGTCTTACAGCAGTTTTTTCATTATGTGAGGTCCATTGATGTCTGCCTTCATAAACTGTACTAGATTTTGAGTTTCTGATGGGTAGACTGTGCCTTATTAATGTCTGTATGTCTAGCTCCAGCACAGTACCTGGCATACAATGTAAGCTCAGTAGATGTTTGTTGGTTGAAGAATGTAGCCAAGCACAGAAGTATGAAATATATATCAGACCTCAAATAATGTTTTAAAAATTCTCCAGTATTTTTGTCCTTGTAGTCCAATTGGTATGAATCATAGAGCCAAGGAAATCAATAAAAATCCGTTTTTTCCCCAT